GTCATCTGTCATCTGCTTTCAAGACTACAGGTTTCCGTCTACTTCAATCTCCTCAAATGGTGACCCTGACATGATTGCGGGCTGAGAAAATGCTGGAATTGCTGGAAGTACATCCAGAGGAGACTCTAGCCAAACGATCATCTAGCCAGCTGGACTGAGCAGACAACCTTCTCCTGGGAGATCAATCACCCCGCTCGTTTGGAAGTAAGGTGAGCGGCTAGAAGGATTAAAATGGGTGCCCAGATGTCTGCGGAAGAAGGGGCAATCATACGAATACTTTCGCATATCCTCTCCGTGAGAGGGATTAAGTATGATTTAAATACTTTACATATGATGCTGAAGTGGCTTAAGGACCATGGTGCCCCCACTTTGAATGTAGAAGTCTTTGAGGTTAAAAATTGGGAAGAAATGGGAAAAGTAATTTGGGACTTTGTATCGCGTGGGACATGAAGGCTCAGAAGATCTCAGCTACGTGGAGATCGGTGCTGGAAATGTTGAAAGCCCTTAAGGCAGAAAAGGAGGTGGCTGCTGCTGCAAAAATTTCAATTGAAGAAGCCCCGGAAAAAAAGAAAAGTGTGTGTGGTGAGGTGGTAAATAATTCGGACAGTGATGAGGAATTAAACACCGAGGGAGATGTCATTAATGGAGGCAATGATCAACCTTTAAGTAACCTGCCTCTCAAGCAGGGACCTATCCCCTCTGCACCTCCCTGTGAGGCTGATACATCCCCAGGAGAAGCTATAAAGAAGCGATGGAAGAACATAAATGTTAAAATCTTAACCGAAGGTTTAAATCCTGTGGCTTTTCCAGTTACAGTCAGGCAGAATGCCCCAAATGTGTGGCAACCTTTCAATTGGGATTTAATAAAAGAAGTACGGAAAACAGTAATGGCTAATGGACTGTCTGCTCCTTTTAGTCAGGCGGTATTGGAGAATGTATTTACTGGTCAAATTTTAACGGGCTTTGACTGTACACAATTGGCTACAATGATTTTAACCCCGACTCAGCGTCTATTATGGAAGGTAAAATGGGCAGAATTATGTGATTTAGCAGCACTAAGAATTTTCGACCACCCAGAAGGAGATCCGCAGTATATGATCACTGCTGCACAAATGATGGGGACTGGTGACTTTGCAGATGTTAATAGGCAAGCAAGGCTACCACTGGAAGCATTACAAGAATCAGCTTCCTTAGCTCTGAAGGCAATGGTAACTTTGCCTGAAGCTGGAAAGCCAGAACAATCAT